CGGAGGACCCGCTGACCCCGCAGTGGCAGCTGGGGCCGCGCCACGCGGCCAAGCAGTTCGCGCGGCATGGCGCCGCCTCCGGGGTGGCCCCGGGCTCGCTGTGGCCGTCGCCGGCGCAGCTGAGCGAGCTGGAGGCCGAGGAGCGCGAGTGGTGCCCCAGCCTGGCGGCCATGCAGGAGTCGGTGCGGACGAAGCAGCTGGCCGAAGAACAGAAGCGTCTGGCCAGGTGTGTGCGCGCGGCGGGTCCCTCCGCGCTCTGCGGGTGACCTGGACCCCAGTAGGGGCCTGGGGAGTTTGCATTGTGTAGAAGGGCGTGCACACTACGCTAGACGTCAGTGGGACCCCCCGGTTGGTGAATTATTCATCAGGTCTTCATCTGCGTGTGGGGGGCAGGAGCCCGCAGTGAAGAGTTCCAGTGAACTGGGAAGGAACTGTAGCTTAAGGAATCCCCGCGTGGGGCTGTTAACCTCTCAATTACTAGCCAGAACCCACCCCGCGGCACTTTGGGAGGACTGGCCTGGAGCCAGCTAATCAATCCTGTGAAGCAGTTCTGTTCTGCATACCTCAGGTCACAGAGTGCAACACCTAACAGGGACTTTGGAAAACTTCAGGCCTAAAATGATTATGTGAACCTAGCTGAAATGACAGTCAGAGGAACAGAGTGAGTTCCAATAAAAGGAACAGCTGTTGCAAAGGCCCTGAGGTAGGAATATTCCTAAGAAACAATCAGAAATCCTTTGCAGCTGGAGCAGAGTGAGGAGGATGAAAATAGGAGACTAGACCCAGGGGGGATAAAGGAGGCAGATCCAGAGGGACTGTGGGTGGCAGGGAGGGCCCTGTGGTGGGACAGAATCTTTGGGGCAAGAGCTCCCTGAAGACTCATGTTGGTGTCATACCTTCTGGCTTGCAGACAAGGGCTGAGAACAACTTTCGGAATTATTCTGGAGGCAGGAAGCCCTGGGGCGTCTGGGTGATGCCACTTCTTAAACATGTAGTAGAGCATTAAGTCACAGTGGAGGTCCTCAGCAGCACCCTTATTTCAGAGGAAGAAACAAAACTGATCTAGGGAGGTGGACACTCTTGTCCAGGAACACCAAGCTGAAGCTTGGATTTGTGAACCTGTAGTTTCTGCCCTTCCTCAGCCACAATGACTTTAAGTTGAGAATCCTTTTTCTAATCCCTAGTTTAGATCAGTGAGATCTACTGTAGCTTTGTAAGGCTGGAGAGTGTCCTTTGTTTTTGCTCCTGTGCTGAGAACAATCGATGCTCAGTGACTGTTAAATGAAGACGTGAACTTATTTGTGGGAATGACCTGCTTGGACGTTCTGGGAATGTTGAACTGACTTAGGGTGGCCCACCCTTCAGCTCAAGGCCACACAGCACAAGTTCTATCTCTCCAGTCTGTTTCTTCACTTTTTCAGAGCTTTTCCTGACAGTTAATGACAGCAGTAAGTTTCCTCCAGTTTTTTGTGGTGTTGAGGCTTTGCTCTGACTGGATGGGGTTATCGGCACCAAACACTTTCCTTCCCTCACAGGGAACAGCTCATTGCTGAGAGCATGGCCAAGATGCCACAGATGATTGAGGACTGGCGGCGGAAGCAGCAGGAGCGCTGGGAGAAGGCGCAAGCAGACAAGGAGCGGCGGGCCCGGCTGCAGGCTGAGGCCCAGGAGCGCCTAGGCTACCACGTGGACCCAAGGAGCACTCGCTTCCAGGAGCTAGTGCAGGACCTGGAGAAGCAGCAGCGCAAACGCCTCAAGGAGGAAAAACAAAAGCAGAAGAAAGAAGCAAGAGCTGCTGCATTAGCCACCGCTGCCACCCAGGACCCAGCCACCTCTGAGGCACCCAGCTCGTGAGGAAGCTGTGTCCTTTTCCCAATAAAGCCCACTGCCTTGATGGCCCCCAGGAGATTTCTGTGCTGCCTCCTCCTTCAAGGTGTCCCTCTACCCGCCTGGTTTCTTCCCCACACCCAGAGCTCATGAAGACAGCCTGGGACACTAGGCCGTGACTGGACAACTCACTGGGGCTGGAGGGAGAAAAGCTGCAATGGGGAAATAATGGAGGAGCAGATGGCAGAGGAAAGGAAGGCTTCTGTTTACTAACATTAATCTCCAGTAATTAGCCAATTACCAGGGGGGAGAATGTGGCCAAAACAGACTGTGGTGAGGATAGTAGGGGGTGGGGAGAAGCAGCCCTTCCAAGGCTAAGCTGGGGCCCACGGCTGGAGAATGAGATGGCTTAAAGGGAGAAGACACTGGGAGTCCTGGGCTGCAGGGCACCCAGGGCCCTGTCCCTTCCCTGCACCTTCGCATTACCTGTGGCCCAGAATCAGACAAGCTGGAATGGGAAGTCCCAGCTGGCACAGACCACAGGGCTAGTCTTTAATACTTTATTCACTTCCAAACCTTTATCAGACACGGCTCTGTTCTTTTTTTTTGGGGGGGGGGGAATGGGGGGGACGGCATAGTCTCAGCTTGATGTGGCTCTGAAGTATTATTCTCTTTCCCAGACAAGACAAACTGCACCTCCTTCCCCACCAAAGGGTTAGTGAGTGGACTGAGGCCAGATGTGTGTGTGTGCGTGCGTGCGCACGCAGAGGCTAGGGGAAGAGGGGAGCCACTTGGGCACCTGAGCACTCGCCCCAGATGGAAAAATTTGGGCCACTCCAATGGAGGATCAAAGTTTGGGCTCCAGCTTTCCCTGAGCCCATAAGAAGGGGTGGGGGGAGGTCTCAGAGGCTCTTGGGGGATGGGGAGGCAAGCAGCCGTCTCTCCATCTGGCTGCAAGGAGCTGGGACAGAGGCCAAGAGGGGCCCATCTGTTGCCTCCCAGTCCTGCCAGCTCCACTGAGCAGGCTGGGGTGGGGGGCTTGAGGACAGCTGTCTAGCCCAGGTCTTCTCAGGATGAGCTGGGAGGAGGAACGCCTTAGGACAGTAAATTGAGGAAGGGTTTTGGTTAGTGGTTTGGTGTTTTTCTAAAAGGTTTTTTGAATTTTTCCACTTCTTAAATAAACATGAATATATATATATATATTTTTTTCTTTTATAAAACTTTTGTGGAATGGGGATGAGGTGGGATGGGCAGCCTGGTTTCCCCGCATCACTCGTCGTCAAAGTTCTGACTCAGGAGGAAGTTGGCAGCCAAGTTCTCATTTTTTTCACAGGCGAAGTAGGCCTGAATTACCAGGCTCTCTGGAAAGCCAAGGGCCTTCAACTGTAGGAAGATGGCAGGTATGAGGGGTAGGGTGGGGCAGTCCCTCCCAAGGGCAGGGGTGCTGTCCCTCAGCCAGGCCTCTTACCCTCTCTATGGCTTCTTTCTCCTGTGGTGTCACCTGGATGTAGTTCATCTGTGGGGCCTCCTCGCCTATGGCACCCACCTCACCCTCCACGTCTGAGATGTCAGCCAGCTCCCCAGGCGGCTCATTCAACATCTGGATGAACTGCTCCTGGTGCCGGCTAATTTGCTGTAGGAAAAAAAAAAAGAGGATAATAGGATATTGACCCACCGCCCAGTTCTCTTGTCACAGCCCTGGCTTTTTCAATTCCACCGTAAAATTCAGAGGGTGCCCAAGGCCAAACATTGGCAACCCAAGTGAAAGAATTAGCCCTATCCTAATGAAGCCAACTGTCCAAGATTTCTGAGGGCTGGAAAGGAGCAGTGCTTCAAGGTGGGATTTCCTTAAGAAAGAAAAAGAGCAAATGCAAATCCCAGAAAGAGAAAACCCACATGACAGGAACAGATGAACGAGAAAGTAAAAGAGCAGAGTGAGAAATCAGACCCAATTTCTTCTTTGCAATGAAAGTAATGTTTGTTAAAGGAGGGAAAGGCCTTTCAGAGAAGATGAATTCAGTTTAGGCTAGTACCTGAGATTCTGATAATTCTATTATAGAGTGCGTTTGACAATGTTCACATTATGTGGTCTCTGAATGAAGAGTGGCTTCTAGGGAGGTATGCGGAAGCCAGGGCTTGGGAGGATGATGTCTGGGGTCCAGGGTGAAAAAGGAGGGGCAGCCATGGAAGTGCATGACATTCTGCAAGGAGAGCAGTCAGGTCAGGTGACACACTGCAGAAAGCCCAGGGGGCCAGGGTTGGGGCAACCTCGGTATCAGGGGGGGGATGTCCTCCACCTTTGTGAAGGATTCAAGTCCGCATCCCCAGAGACAAAGAGAAATATGTGCAAATTACATAATGGGGGGAGGGTTGGGGGATTAATGCACGTAAGTGGAGTGCAGGTTAAGGGAAGCCCAGAGCAGGAAGAACCAGTTTAAGACTGAAAAGTAGGAATAAAAGCTGCCTCTTACAGGGTCCTGAGCCAGAAGCCCCCAGAGGACCTGTTGCAACCCTGGCTTCTTCAGGATCCTACTTATCCAAGTGTTACCAGCCACCACCACCCCCAAGTCTTACACAGGAGCCTTAGAGCCAGCTAATACACAGCTGTTGTGGATGTCATCATGCAACCTTCTATTTATGCAATACCAGCTATACTAAAGGCAAATCAAAGCCAGACAGAAAACTAAGTAAAGGACACTAGCTGGAAGCACAACAAACAAACATCTTGACTCTAGATGCAGCCTAGCCCAAGTCTCTGGTGTCTCCTTGGGATGTAAAATATGACAATACTGCATAGTTCAAAAATTCAGAGTTGGAAAAGAGAAGACCTTTCATTTACCCAATAGTAGCCTAGCGGGTAAAGGGTTGTGCTGCCAACCCAAAGGCAAATGGCTCAAATCTACCAGTTGCTCTTCAGGAGAAATGTGGGCTATCTCCTTTCATGCGATTTACAGCTTCTGAAAACCACTGGAGGGTCCACAAGGAGTCGGTTCTGACTTGAAAGCACAGACAACAACAATCATTTATCTTACTGTCTAGGTTTAGAGCAACTCCTATGGGCTGTGGTACTTATAGGGCGGGGGTGGAGAAGGTGACCTCCCTTGTTCCACCCATTCCCAGGGCTGCACCTGTAAGAGCTGGGGGTTTTCCTGTCCCAGCTGCTGGAGCAGGGCAGGCAGCAAAGCTGGGTTCTGCTGAATCACTTGCCGCATGTTCTGGAACTGGGGCTGGTCCCGCAAGAACTCCAAAGGGTTCTCTCCTGCAGGTAGGGAGTAGGAATGTGCAGTCAGACACAAGGCTGGACTCAGGGGTGTGGAGGGAGGTGTTAGGTGCACTAAGAAGAGACACTGCCTGTGCCTACCTCCTCCCACTCTGCTCACCTGATTCTGTGGTCGGCTGCTCAGATACCTGGCTCTCCTGGACTGAGCCTTGCTCTGGCTCAGGACTCCCAGGAATTCCCTGTAAGGGATTCTTTTTAGTGTTAATGCAGAGACGTTCCCCAGGAAGGTCCTCCTAAGACTCATCCCAGAACCACCACCCAAAATCTTCTAGAGAGAGACTTTTTGTCTCCCTGAGAGCTTATCAGGTCACAAGAGTCAATGGTGCTGCCCAAAACCTCCCCAGGGAGGTGGGAGTCCCCCTCACCGTGAGAAGATACTCCACGGCACGGTGAGGATTGTTGTAGCTAGCTCGCAGGGCAGCCACAACCCGCTCCCGCTCGTAGCCCATGGACATGATCTCTGTCAGCATAGTTTCGTACTCAGAGCCAGTCACTGTGGAGGGAGCAAGGAGACCTGGGTCAGCAGGAAGAGGAAAGGCCCTCCCACACCCAGAGACGCTTGGGGGATGACTAGAGCACCTCCTCATCTCCACCCTAGGGACCACCCACCCACCTAGTGTGGAGGCCGCATCTTCCTCTCTGCCGCTGCTACCTGAAGAGGGAACAGAGCTGCAAATTCAAGAGAGAGAAATCGGACCCTGGCTTCTGCTGGTGTGCCCTCCTCCCAGGTGCAGGGGAGACCACTTCTGTGGGCCCTGGAAAGCGCTGGAGGAACAGAATCCAAGCCTGACCTTCCCCTTGCCTTACCCTGGCAAAGACTCTGAGGACATCGTGGGGACTGATTCTTCGGACGGGCTCTTGTCTTCTCTGTCAGCAGGTGGAGGATGCGACATGCTTGAGGCAGGAGGGGCTGGTGGGAAGGATGTAGAAGACTCCGGGGCAGCAGTAGGTGAGGTCTCTGGGGGGGCTGAGGTACCTGAGCCAGCTTTGGCCTGTGATGGCCAGGAAAAGGAAACAGCATCAGCACCGCTATCAATCCTCCACAACCTGCCTTGGTGCAGCCCCACCCTGCTCACGGCTAATCTGTCCTGGGCACATGAGCTCTTAACAAGCACCAGGGAAAATCCACCCACCCTCCCAGCCAGCATACTTCACCAACCTTGGTCACCATGACAACCACAAAGTTCTTCTCATCTATTCGATAATCCCTGATAGGAACGTCATCACTCAAGATCTTGCCAGCATAAATGAGCTTCTGTCCAGCCACAGGGAAGGCATCTCGGCCCTTCTCTGCTTCAATCTTCTCCTTTAGTACCTTCACCTGAAGACAGGGGTACAGGACCATTGCAAACCATAAGAGTCCCTTTCGTCATCCAGAATGATGGGAAGTCCTGATGGCAGAAAAACTAAACCTTGTCATCACATACGCTAGATGTGAATTTGATGAACCACCATCCCATTTGTCAGCAAAGCATTTGCTGAATCCCTGCTATGGCAGAGGACACAGAATGGAGGAAAACCCAATCGATACTATCATGGAGCTCTCATGGATTTGGAATGAAGTATGTAAAAATAAAACCACTTCTAGGTGAGCTCTGGTGGCCTAGTGGCAAGAAGCTGCACTGCAATCCCAGAGGAACACAGTTCGAATCCACCAGATGCTCTGCCGGAGAAGGAGGCGCAATATCCTCCAGTACCAGTCAGATCTGATTTGACTGTACACGCGCACAAAATAATAATAAAGAAAAAAAAAAAGTTATACAAAAAAAAAGAGTTAAAAAAAAATAAAACCACTTCTATCAGATGGTATAAAGCGTTAAGAAAAAAACAAAATAGAGGAGGTCCTCTGATTCCATGCTGCTGGCCTTGAGAAGTGGTCAATAACTGCAAAAAGAATTCTTAATAGCTTGTTCTAGTATAAATATACTTAAAGACTTAAGTCTCATAAACCATATCGAACAGGAGGGGCTAATTTTATATCTGAGAAAACTTGAGCCTTAAGAAAGGTTAACTAGGCAAGCTCTGGTGGCCTAGTGGCAAGAAGCTGCACTGCAATCCCAGAGGTGTGTGGTTCAAATCCACCAGATGCTCTGCTGGAGGAGGAGGAATAATCGCCTCCTGTACCAGTCAGATCCAATTTGACAGTACACACATAAAAAATAATTTAAAAGGAAAAGAAAGGCTAACTAACCTGCCCTAAATCAAACAGCTAGGCTGGTGTTAAAAAAAAAAAAAAGCCACGTCTGTTTGTTTCTACAAAAAGTGCACTTCACTGTCACCCTCACAAAGTGATTGTGCAAAAAGTGCCAAGCACGCAGGTAACACACCCATCCAAGTTTGGCCCTAAACTCCTCCTCTCGGCTAAAATGACAGCTTGTTGTTTATTTTAGGTCGTAAGACTTTACTTGGCAGAATGGTGTGCGACCGCCAGTTCTGCCATCAACTAAACGTACTACAGTATATGACTGTGGCGAAAACGGTACAACTGGAATTCCCGAAAGACAGGTAAGTTCTGCACACTTAGTAAGATACGAGCACCAAAAAAGCTCAAGCAAGTAGCAAAGAACAAACGGTCAACAAACGCGGACCAGTGGAATGACGATGGCGATGACCTATTAAAATGATCAGCGCCGTAGCTGTCATCGATCGGCATCTCCTGGTCGTCGCTCCCAGGTCGGCCCCGCAAGTCCCAAGAGCTGGGAAGCCGGGAGCCCAGTCCTGGAAAGCGCAAAGCGGCCAGGAATCCGTGCCCCGTGAGTACGCCTGACATTTGAGCCGTGGCCTGGCACGCGCCCCGAAAGTAGGGGCTCGTCCAGAGATCCACTGGCGGCCCGCTAGAGGCTGGGATGGGGACCGGGGCGCTGATCCAAACAGGCCGTGCTGGGGGCCGGGGGGAGAGGGCAGACCCCGATCCCACCCGCAGCGCCCGGTCGCCGGAATCACGGCCTCCCCGCCCCCACCGCAGCCCCGGCACCCGTCACTCCCGCCCCTGGGCCCCAACCTGGCCCGCACCGTCTCGTCAGGCTCCATTCGAATCTTGAAGGTCTGCTGCTGCAGTGTTTTAAGCGTGATAGTGACGGCCATGGCGGGGCCGAGAGGCGGATCCGGGCCCTGGGATCCTCACATAACATGCAACTCACGCCGCCGCCATCTTAGCGCCCAGCCGCGCTGAGCGCCGACCACTTCCGGGGCAGAGGGTGCACGCGCCGACCGTCCGTGCACGTGACCTGCGTGGACAAGGGGGGCGCCCCCTCCCGGTCGTTGTGGGCATGCGCATCCGCTGTGCGCTAACTAAATTCCACCTGGCATGACAGGGGAGTGGGGATGCTGGGAAGGCGGGGTGCAGTCGAGGGGAAGAGACTCCAGGTAAGGCGCGCATCCGGCACGTGGGGTCCTGCGAATGACGCCATACCCTTTAGCGATGACGTCACGTGCCCACAAAATGGCCCCAGAGCCCAGTTTCCAGGACCCCAGATTTTCACACTATCTGGTGGTGTTGAAAAAAAATTTTAGTTGCATTTCATCTGTAAAATCTTTGTTCACATTAAAATAAACATTTTTTAAAAAGAGACTTGTCATGCCAACCTAAAAAAAAAAAAATCTTTGTTCACAATTTTCTCTGATCCAATTAATTTCATCTTATTCTGGCCAGGCCACTTTAGAACCTTGGTGGTGGAATTGATTCAGGGTTGGAATAGGCCAAACTGTCAAAAAAAAAAAAGAATGCATTTGTTTTGACAGCAGGTCTACCAAAATTATCTTGTGGTTTCATTTATTCACTTGTGAAAGTGATGATTTTTGGATCTCCCATTAACTAACTCCCAGAAAGAACTATTTCTCCAACCTCGTCCCAGACCTGCCCCCCAAAAAAAAAAATTTAACAGAAACGTTAATTTCAAAAACTTCCTACTAATTGAATTCTTTTTTTTTTTTAAATTTTTTCATTTTTGTGTGAGTGTACCGTCAAATCAGATCTGACTGGTACAGGAGATTGTTCCTCCTTTTCCCGGCAGAGCATCTGGTGGATTCAAACCGTGTGCCTCTGGGATTGTAGTTGCAGCTCCTTGCCACTAGGCCACCAGAGCTCCCCCCTAATTGAATTCTTTACTCAATCTTCAGTATACCTTGGAAAACCAGCCCAGGTTTCCTGAAGTTGACCTGGTTCACAGGACACAAGGAAGTATGAAAAAAAGTTTTCTCAGAACAAGGTTGAAATGGTTCACTATTACTGAAGCAGAGACTGGATGGAGGTTGCTCAGTATTCTCCAGTCAACACAGGAAAGAAAGGCCAGAAAGACAGCAGTGGCAAACAGCCCCTAGATCTTACCCCAGGCAAGCGTCCTTGTCACTAGGTGCTAGTCAACTAAAACTCAGGGACCCTATGAACAGATCTAAACCTTGTCCTAATGAAGCCCACTGTAAGTTGTCAGTCCACCTTTCCGGGAATCTTTTCTCTGAGCTTTCTTTCCAGCATATCCTTTTCCAAGGACTAGCCTCACCTGAAAACATACCTAAAGTATGAGACTAAGTTCCAGTTCCTCCAAGTCAGATTTATTCTTCTGGTAGTCCATGGGATAATCAGTATTCAAATCCAACACAATTTCAAGGCATCAATTTTGTCATCCTTATTCAATGACCATCATCATCTACCTCCAGACCTATTCTGTCATTCCCATCCCACATATAACAGGATCTTTTCACTGTATGCTTGGGAGTCCAGAAACCATCACCAACGTGCAGCTTCTCTCCAAAATCAAGAGACACATCTCCCTGCAACCTACACTATCATGAGACTTCATCACTGCCGTTATCTGTACCACCCTAACCCCTTTTTTCCCCTTAAGGGTTCAAATCCCAATTTGGCCACTGAACAAAGCCCATAGGAATGTTAAATTACTTGCATTTGAACCTACTACAATTAGAAGAAATTGCTCCTAACACTGGTTAGCAGTAGGAAAATGTTTACAAGCACTCAACACACACACATAACTTCTGTGCACTCAACAGCTGTGTAGTTTTGCTCATGTGAGGATTGTCAGTTGACTCAGTGACCCTATGTGCAAACTCTTACTCCATCGGTGCTGGTTCTTATCACCATCACCACCACTGCCATGTCTGAGCCTTACTGTTGCAGCCTCTGTGCCCATCTGTGTCATTGAGGGTCATCGTCCTTATTTCTGATGACCTTCTCCGGACTGTCTGACCTAGCAATATGCCCAGAGTAAAGGAACTCCCACCATCTTTGCCAAACAACATTCTAAATGCAGTTTTTTCAAGATAGATGTTTACCAACGGGGTGATTCTTGTTAGTATTTGAAGTACGGGTGGCATAGCTTCCAGCTTCACACTAACCTGCAGGTCCATCACAGAACACAGACAAGTTAAGTGATGGCACATTAGGTAACAGGGACAAATTAGTGGTTATGGAATGAATTCTAAAGTCTGCAGCCTCAGACCTCAGTCTGCTTACAAATCAAATCAAATAGGTAATAGATTCAGTCAAGTTAATAGATATAATGCTTTAGATAATTACCCTCTTTCTGTTTTGGGCTCACTAGACAAGTAAGGGCATCTGTACCCTTATGGACACACACACACACACACACACACACACACACACACAGTCCCCTCTGGTTGTCTTCTGTCTATAAAGCCCTGAGAAGGAGACACATGAGGGAGACACAAAACTTAATTTAATAGAAATTTTGCTTGTAGTTCTTACATTCTCAGTATGAGCCGAGCTGAAACCCGCTGCCCCACCCAGAAGTGGCCCAGTTCTGGGAGTAGGGGGAAAGGGAGGGGCAGAGCTCGGTCCCTAAGAGCCCCATTCTTCCTCAGTGCTGGGGGGGGGGAGGCTTGGATCATCCTTTTCTCCTGTGCCCTCTTGCTCCCACCTCCCCTGGGCTCCAGGAAAGAGCAGATGGAAGCTCAGGCCTGGGATTTCCCAGACCCCTTGCCCCTGGGCCAGAAAGGGGACTAAGGGATTTGAGGAGAGGACAGAGTAAGAAAAAAAGATGTTGATTAAAGATGAGGGCCAGAGGTGGGCTGAGGGAGAATTAAAGACAAAAACACCAGTAAAAAAAAAAAAGGGGGGGGGGAACATAACCAAAATTCACCCCGAATCTGAACCTGCCTGAAAAAAAAAAAAAAACAAACGAAGAGTTCTCTAGTCTCATAGAGACATTATTTGGCGCTGCCGGCTTTGCGCCGGGAGCGCTCAGGCCTCAGTCCAGCCCTGGAGGCAGGCGGCGTGGCCTCTACAGCTCGTCCTTGGCCTGGGCCACATCTTCATCCTCCTCCTCTTCTTTGTCCTCTTCATCCTCCTCCTCCTCGTCTTTGTCCTCCTCCTCCTCCTTGTCCTCTGCCTCCTCTTCCTCCTTGCGCTTCTTGTCCTCTTCCTCCTCCTTCAGCCTCTGCTCTTCATCCTGCTTGTCCTTCATGAGTTTTTCGGCAGCCTGCAGGCACAGACCACGCACCTTAGAACCTTGGCCCCCAACTGCCAGCGCTGCTCAGCCTCCCAAACTCAGGCCTGGGGGGGGGCGGGGGGGGGTGTGTCTCACCTTTGTGACTCCCCACGTCTCATTGCCAAACTCCTCGGCGTAAGCCTCGTCGTTAGTGATGAGAAAGTTGTCAAAGATAGTGCCAGACTTGACCTGTGGGAGCAAGGAGTGAAGGCACAGGAGGTCAGAGGGGACATCTAGCAGCCCTAGCAAGGATCACACCTGTGTTCTAACTATGGACAAACTGCCCTTAGTCTTTCCTTGTAGGAAGACACATACAGTGTAGCGTTCTTAGTACTGCACTGCCAGGCTGAACAACTGCTCGTCACCACCTCTAATGTAAAACATTTCAGCTCTGCTATTTCTCACTTCTCTGCTATAGTTTTCATACCTGTAACATGGGGATTCATTCTCTCATGTTGTTCAGCGCCAAGGAGTCAACTAGAATTCACAGGGACCCTTCAACAATAGATCGGAACCTCGCCCAATCCTGTACCATTCTGATGATCCCAAACATGCTTAAGCCCACTGTGGTCGTCATGCATTCCCTCCTAATAATCCAACACTTCCTCTGTGACAAGCACTGTTCTGGGCCAAATATAAGTCAGTGAATGTCGATAGACATCAAGAGAACTAGAAATTTAACTTCTGACTATCAGACTGCCTTTTAGGTTAGAAAAAGTTAACTCACGTAAAATATTTAAAAGAGTACCTAGCTCATATCAAACACTCTATTTTTTTTTAAAAGGCAGGAAGTACTTCAAGAGAAAGATTCATTTTATGAATGTCAAACCTGCCTGGATTTCAACTCTCTGTTCTTCTATCCTGAGAAAGTTCCATACTTTACTCCCCGCCCCAAGATCCTCACTGTGTCTCACCTGCCAGAGATCTAAGCCCAGCACTGCAAAGCTGTCATAGGAGTAGATGTTAGGATCAGGGGAGTACTCGGGGTTGTCGATCTCTGGGTGGATCCATTTGCCCTTGTAATCTGGGTTGTCAATCTGCCGGGGCTTCCACTCGCCCTACAAGAGGAGGAAATTGAAGGTGGGCAAGGTCCAGTGCCCCACCCACCATGCTCCCCAGCCCTGCTCGGAGCTCCAAGCCCACCTTGTACTCAGGATTCTGAATCACGGGTGGTTCCCACTCTCCATCCATCTCCTCATCCCAATCCTCAGGCTTCTTGGCATCAGGATCCGGAATATGCTCAGGCTTGTCCCAGTCCTGGAGTACACAGCACACTGGAGTCAAAACTAGCCATTCACCCTCACCCTCCGATGTGGGCAGGTTCTAGCCAAGTACCAACCTCAGGCTTGGAGTCTGTGGGGTCATCGATTTTGGCCCTCTCATCCCAGTCTTCAGGCTTGGAAGCATCGGGATCCTTTATCTTCTTGGGTGGCAGGAAGTCCCAATCATCTTCCAAGGAGCCTGACTCCACCTGGCTGTTGTCTATCTTCACCTCATAGGTGTTGTCCGGTCTCACGATCAGAGTGTACAGGTGTGTGAATTCATCATCCTGAGGAGGGCGGGGCGTGAGTGACCCCACCCACCAGGCTGGCCTCAGCTCTCCCTCAAAGCCCTGGGCCGCTGCCACCGCTCCCCCCCAGGCACACCTTGCAGCGGATGTCCTTGTTGATCAGCACATTCTTGCCCTTGTAGTTGAAAATGACATGGACCTTTTTGGTGCCAGGGCCACAGATGTCAGGGCCTAGGTGAGAAACCAAATTCAGTCAGATCCAAAGGTATGCCACCATTTGGACCTCCATCCCTTCTTTAAAAATACTTCATTCTAAAATACAAGTCTACTAGACATAAAACCAACTCAATATAGCTGTCAATGCAAGAGTTTTTACTTTCACTTATAAAATGGGAAAACAGCAAAGATTCCCCAAGATAGCTGCTAATAAGCAGTAACACAGACAAAAAACTACTCCTAACTGGATATCCGTCTGTCTGTTTCCCTCCAAAAGAAACATTCAATGCTATGTTCTTTCCCCATTCTCTTCAGGACTAGCTGAAACCCTTACAGGGAGGTTTTCACTATCTCAAAGGAAGGAATAGAAATCGGCACTGGGCAGGACCCACTCACCAAACATGATGTTGTATTCGGAGTCTCCATGCATGTCCGTCTGGTCCAAGCCACTAGGAAACAACTTCACGTAGCCGCCCCCACAGTCAATGTTCTGCTCGTGTTTCACTGTAAACTGCACCACCAAGGTCTTGTCCTTGTTGCTGAAGGGCTCGAATTTTGCCGACAGGGCATAGAATCGAGCATCCTGGCTCGTCTGCAAGCCTGGCACAAGACGTGATGAGGTCACAGCTAGGTTTCCTACCTTGGGGACCCTAGGCTTCCGGAATATAATCACTGCCGCCCCCCCCC